GAAAAAAAATGAAAGCCTACAGAAAAATCAAAGAGCGAGTGCTCCTAGGTCATGAAGGCAGTATCCATGGTGTAATGCATTAGAAATTTAAAAGGAAAAAAGGGTGGAAGTAGTCTTGAGACAAACGTATCTCATTCCCCTTTCTCCCCCCACCAAAAAAACAGTACAAATACTATATGGCATCCCACATCAGTCTTGAAGAGATCTTAAGACAGCACAGAGACAAGTAAACCCACCCCACCCCCAGTTAGGAATCCTTTAATTTCCAGGTTAAATTTGTCCATAGCCGGATTGTAGCTATCTTATTTTACACTGGTGGCAGCAGGGGTTTCTAACATTCATGAATATAACAATTGCATCCCCTCACAACCTTTTGTTAAGCGAACAAAGTCATAGCCCTTCAGTCTTCTTTCATAAGAAAGGTCTCCAGAATTTTCTTCCCCATTTTAGTGGCCCTTCTTTATATCTGTTCTAATTTAAGATGCTTTTTTTGAGTGCTGGCAACATGCAGTATTTTAAAATCGGGTGTCTAACCTTTTTGAATGTGGGGCTGGACCATTAACTTTTTATCACCCAGTGAGCTGGTGAGCCATATTCAAAGACCTCACAGGAAGTGGTAGCACGTTAACCTTTGGCACCAATGAAGTTGCAGGAAGTGACAATGAAATGGGTCTGGAAATGTGGTTTAAAAACCAAAATAACAATATAAAAGCAATGATGAAATAGTACCAAACACTTGACTAAAATAAACACTTTTGCATAACAAAGGAAGCATAATGCAAGTTGACAGATCAAATGTGGAAAAGATACCAACCAGAGTGGAAACTAATCAAAGGTGGAGGGATGTGTCTTGGCGGGAGATGCCTGTGCAGCCTCCGCTGCTTGCTGCCTTGCAGGAGGGAGTAGGGGCTCCTCAGTGTATCTGAGAGGCTGCGACAGAGACTTGTGGATCAACTGGGCACAGCTGCAGCTGGGCACAGAGTGGAGCAGGGAGAGCTGCTACCATGGGTGGGAGCCCCAGTCTGGGCTCCTCCTTGTCCTCCTGGCTGCAGCCTCCCCAGGATATGTGGGGAGCCATGTGTGCCTGTGCAGCCCCTGGCTCCTGCCTTGGCCCTGCATAGCCCTGCTGTTGAGCCCCGGCCCTGCTCCACCACCTCCACCTGCTTTTGAGGATGCCCAGTAAGTCAGCCAGGCACCAGGGAATGTGTGTGCGCTTGGACCCTGCCATGGGGCACTGCTTGCTGCGGGCTGCATGTGGGAACCTTGTCCCTTCCCCAGCCCTTCAGCAGTCATTAGGAAGCTGCTGGGGGTGGGACAAGGGGTGGGAACAAAAGTAAACAGTGTTGCAGCACTTCAGGCCTCAGAAAATGCCTTGGCGCCTTGGACAAGCCAGTTCTAAATGGAGTCTTGCCAATGCTTGGTACCAATACCTCCTCACCTCTAATGCATACATCTACCTCATGCACCCTAGAACTGCAGTTTTTTCACCAGTGGCATTGGCAGTGGCTCATGATCAGTATAACCAGGTCCTTTTCTTCCTTCATTGCTTCAAGTCTATGCACCCCTTAGAGCAGGGGCAATTATTTTGGGCAGAGGGTTGCTTACTGAGTTTCAGCAAGCCCTTGAGGGCTGCATGACAGACAGTGAGGGGCAGATAAATATTAATTTTCTAAAATTTTTAGGGGCCCTGCCAGCCGGATAGAATGGCCTTGTGGGTTGCATCTGGTCGACGGGCCGCATTTTGCCCACCCCTGCCTTAGAGTATCAAAAAATAATCTGCTTGTCAACTATTGGCAACACACCGTAGCTTAGTGTCATATACAAGTTTTACAGTGGTACCTCTAGTTTCAGTATCAATGTTACTAATGAAAATATTAAAACAGGACAGGGTCTAAAACTAATCTCTGTGGACCATGGATAACCACTAGATTCAGATAACTCACCTTTCAACACAGGGAAGCTACTTTATCCACCTTATAAATGTAGTTTTGAGCTGAATCTTCTCCATTTGGCCAGTAATTTCCCATGAGGCACAGTATCACAAGCTTAAGCTTAAATCTAAGTCCAGTGCATTGTTTTGATCCAAGAATGTTATCTTGTCAGAGGAGAATAATACAAGTCCCACACAATCTTTTTCAGATAAATAAAATGATAACTCATATTGCATTGTGTATCTATCACTGGATTCTTCTTTCCTTCAATATCCAAATTTTAAAAATTACGTGCAGCATGTCTTCAATAGTAGTTGCAGTGGTGACTATTCATTTTTAAAACTAGGCATGTTTGCCACTTTCCTATCATAGGGGAGTATTGAGAGTCAGTGCAGACAGTTCCAAATTGACAGTCAGTGAAGATCAGCAGCTGCTATAGCACTATTCCATGTGCCAGTTTTTTCAGTAGTCTAGGATGGAGATTGTCCAAGGCCACCCAATTTGTGCCAATAAGCAACATTTGTTTCCTCCTCAGATGTAGTAATTTCCACAACTAGGTCTTGCCACATGCTATGCAGCTATTTTACCTTCATCCTTACTGAAGACATGCAAAGTAGACATTGAGTTCTTGGGCCATACCTACATTGTTCATCTTCAGTGTATACCAGCCCCTCTTCTTTTTGGTTACTTTTCTTGTTTTATTCCTGCATTCTGACTGTAGAAGGATATTGTCACTGATAAAACATTTCCATTGCATCTCCATCTAATTCTTAATGGCCTGTTAGAGATAGTTAATCACCCATGTAGATTAAGTCCTTCCCCACCCATTGCAAGCTCCTGACAGTGTGAATATTTTACTTAAACTATTTCCATGCCACTCTGTATCTAAGTTTCCTTAGTGCTCAATCAATTTCCTTAACTAATTGCCTTACTTCCTCAAAGCTGCAGGATCCTTGTTATACCAGGATTCTTGTCTATCCTGCAACCTAAACTAAACTGACATCAACTCGGGCACTTTAACCCAAATTTTTTTTTCATAAACAGTTGTCTATGAGTTGCCTCTATTTGTTGAAACTAGATCTCAGGCAGCAATACCTAATGCTAATAAAATTCTTTATCAAATGGTCAATACCAAGTAACTCATCCAAAAATACCTGTAGCTTACCATTAGTATAACCTAATCCTAATTATCCTCAGGGAAATAAAAGCTAGAGTTCCCAGTTGCACCAAATTTGGCAATATTTGAAGTTTTACTGTACACAAGGGACAAATAAGCTCAGCTGTTTTTACCATTGCACTGTTAAGGACTAAGGGCCCTGGCAGAAGTTATGTTAATCATGTGATAAACTGTAATGTTACATGTGTAAGCAATTTATTATGCAGTAAAATGGCAAAGGTATGGAACATCTTTATGCCTGGTATGTAGCCCACTTTACCTGGCATGTTTAAAGGGCTACTATCTGGTGTTGGGCTGCCCCCACACCCTTTGACATACTGGCAGGGAGTTTGAGGTTTCAGACTCCTCATGCACCAGCAAGATGAAAAGGAGACAGGAGAAACATGGCATTGGGAAGTGGCCCCCAATACTGTATTTCTCATGGTGACTTTTAAAGATGGCAATGTCCCATAGGGGAGGTACTCCCCGATCTCACGCTCCAACACCTTTAAAAGCACTGGGGACCTGCCTCCGATGCCAAGCTTCCCATGGTGCACTTTGAAGGAATCAGGGCATTGGGAGTTGGAACCTCGCTCACACCAGCAGATGCACAATCATAGGTGACTGGCAGGGGAGGCATGTGCGCCCCTCCCCCCCCAGCTAACAGGGCAGTCCCTGGCTTCTGCAGGTGCCCCCTCAGACACAAGAGGCACCAGTTGCTCATGTGCTCAATGATGTCTGATAAATGTTATCCCCGATCCCCACAAAGACCTGTGTCTTACAGTGCAGGTCTGGCATGGCAGAGTGTGCAGTTTTTGGGATCTGGGATAAAATCTGTCAGATCCAATCACACAGTAAAATTAACATCTGCCATGGGCCTGGCCTCTGTCACACTTAGTGTCAAAACTGAGAAGGACCCACCACTTTTACAACTATATTTTTTCAGAAACTCCAAAGTGGTGTATGCACTTAGATCTAATAGATGACAAGATCTGTCCATTAGAGTATCTAAGCTGGGAAGCTACTGGCTAATAATTAATCCAGACTATTTCTGTGTAAACACAACCCTTTAGTTAACCCTTTAGTTAGTGAATGTCTAGGAAGTGCTAGACATTCAATGGGGCATTTCCTTAGATAAATATAAGTAGGTATGTAAAGCTAGTGAACCAATTCAGAAAAAAATGAATATAAGCACTTGATAGACATGAACAACTGGGTCATGTAGTGTTTCTGTATCTCATTACAAACTTTATACAGGCTGGATTATACTATTTACTAAAGTAGATAGTATGTTTGGTCCTATTCAATTTGTTATTAAATAACTACATAAATTAATAAGGTGTTCAACACATTTAATTGAAGTCAAAGGATTTATCTACAGAACACTTTATTTAAAAAAAAAAAATCAGAACACAAATTGCTCATTTCTCCCAAACAGACTGGAGTGGGGAAGTTGCAACTGCCACTCACAAATGAAGGGCTAAGTGATTCATACTTCCAATTTCTATAAAGAACAAATATATTCACAAAAATGGGAAATTTGACTTACATATATAAAAATACCAACATTCTTCATACACTCATTTTCCCTTAACAAGGTTGGGGTTGTCCTTTTTGAGAGGACATGCTATAAAATCTAGACAGATCAACACTTCCTTACTTCAGACATTTTGCAGGCTATTATTGCATGTTTTGTAACTCATCTTTTCTGAAGGGCATCCTCTGTGTCACAATGTTACTATGATTAAAAAGCAGCCTTCTGAAGAAAAAGTCAGGCCTTTAATTTGATTATATTTTTGGTGCTGCTTGCCTCTGACTGACAAACAAAACAGTTATTTACTTGATATGTTGGAAAATAATGGATAACAAGGAAAAAAAATCTTAAAAATTGACAGTTCAGATATTTCTGGTAAGAGTGGAGCACATCACATTTATTGTGCATTGTACTGCTATTCCCTAGTGCTTCATTTCTACACGTACAGTTAGCTTATATTCTTGATGTTACATATATGTATTTAAACCAAACCTTACCTGAATACATGATATCTTCTGAGGATTTCCCCACAAAGGAGGATTACTAGAAAAGGTAACAATAAAGCTATGTACAGCTTTAACAGCAGTGCAAAAAACATTTCACACCCAAGATTTTTTCCTTATTCTGTATTTCAACATATTCCAGTGCACTGGCTAACATCATCTATACAAAGTCTGACAGCACATTTGGTATTGTACATGCTTTATTAAAATGGTACTCATATTTACAATATCTGCAGAAACAATCCCTCCCAAGTCTTGCATTCAGACAGACACGCACAGAAACACACACACACAGACCCCTTCAATTTCTAGGGGTGTGAAGGCTAGGCTCCCAAGTTAGACAACTCCTCGGGGGCATAGGGGAAGGGAAAGATTTTTTTTTTTTAATTACTTAAAAAGAAGCATGGGAGAATGCATTTGGCCATCACAATGCTATTAACTTTATGTATATTAACATATGGCAGTAACACTGAGTATTCCTTTACATTCTATACACAGAATGACATCAAGGTTTTCCAGTCAACAAAACATTCTAACTTCAGTCTCAATGCTGCTTGTAGTGACTATTAAGCCACATATTTGGGGCATTCCCTTAAAACAATTCAAGTCTATGCAAGAGAAATAAGGCACAATTAATATCGATTTTCACTGAGGGGAAGGGAACGGGTAAACGGCAGGCTTCAGATAATAGTTGCTCAGAGGAAGTAATTTTGCCACATCCTTTAGAAAAGAGTACTAATTGTACCCCATTCTAATTGGCATGGACTTCTCTTAGAAAACTGAAGTTTTTATGCCAGGGCTAAACACACCCACATACAAAACAAAATTTGGAAATTCACATTTTAAACACCAGTTTCAGTAGCCAAGATTACTGGTATTGATGTACATATGTACGTTTTACTGTAATACTAGAGGAGAAAACACATGAAACAGGACTCAAGCTTTTCATTCTCTTAAAGACTCACTCCTTTGAAGACCTTGTAAATAGGTACTATTTGAGGCTTCCACTTACTGATGAGAAAAAAAAAAAAAAAAAAGAGAACAGCTTTTTTTGTCTTTTAAATCTCTGGCCCCTCTTCATTAATGAAGCCTTACTAGACATTACAAATCAATTGCAACAGAAGAGTTTGGCAGCACAAATAATGCCTAGTATTCAAATCTTCATTGTGAGTATATGTTATTTTCCTTGTACAAAACCTGTTGAATGTTTTTCGCAGCAGATGAACTGTACCCAAAGATGCAGGATATTCTGTGATGGGGAATAAAGAGGTTGCAGTTCCGAAGGCCCCTGACTTTGGTTGTTTACAAAGTTCAATCCTGTTTAGTGTGATCCTTGGTATCTTCTTCATCTGTATATTCTGATGGTTCTTCCCCTGGCTTTAGGAGTCTACCTACGTAGTCATATTTTTCTGGAAGAGACATTTTGGATTCAATTAAAAACAAAGGAAGCCATTTTCTCCTACTTAATTTGCCCTGAAGCTCAGCTATTTCCTTCCACACTAAAGATCTTGATCCTAACATTACTGAAGAAATCAACAGAAGTTTTATCACTGACTCTACAGCAAGATCAGACACTAAAATAACTCTGAAGCACTTCCACTAGCCCAGAGGTTCCCCAGTTGTGGTATGCATACCCCTGGATATGCAAGACATCACTGGGCGGGTACCTGGGAGAAATTGTGTAATGGCAGATTTAACTTTTCATTATAATAATTGGCATGTAAGGGGTTAAAATATAAATTGAATGTTGGTAGGAGTACAGGGCCAGCTGGTAAATCTGGAAGAGGATATGCAATAAGAGAGTTTGGGAACCTCTGCACTAGCCTATTGTTTGACCACTTCAGTCATTCCCTCCACCTTTTCCCACACTTGATAAGCTGTACCACAGGATAGGTTTAATTCTTTCCCTTCTCCCCTGTGCATCTCCATTAATTAGCCATCTTTGATTTCAATGAAGTTTGAAAATGTTGGCCTTTTTCCAGGTATGCTTCTTTGCCTGACAGAAATAATCCAGATTATGGCACAGATCAACAGTATGCCAAAACAGCTGATCCCATATTTAAAGAGAAACTAAGTCAAACATCTTGTAAATAGAGGCCTCAGGCTACATTAATTATACTGAGACCTTCTGTAAGTTAGATAAGTGCCATTCTATGTTAATACTTGCAGTCTGAAGTGATGCTCTCTAACTACTTAAACAAAAATGTTTAAAAACAAAGGCCAGTATTACAATTCCTCTGAAAATAAAACTCAAACCACAATTCCCTTCCCAACAAGATAAAGTGGTGAAGGTGCTGTAAATAGTTATTTAAAATCCACCCCATATTCCAATTTGTTGTGCTGACTGTTTCCTTACATTGGTAAATCATAATTTCTTAGTTTGAAAAGTTACCTTTAAATTGCATTTCCCATTCTCTAACACTTTCCATCTGTACAGCATTTAAGTCCGATAGGTCGTCATATTCATCTCTGAGTGCATCCTTATCTAGACAGAAAGTTGCTAGTCCCCTGGAGGCATCTCTGCCAGCAAATATTCCGTAAGGACCCTCTGAAAACAGAAGAAAAATGGATGGCTTTCAAAATGTATTTCTAGATTACTTAATTTACAGAGTTGAGGTCAGTAATTTCCTGGTATGTAAAAAACAGGAAAAAAATATGAGATTATACATCCCATATTTATGCATTAAGTTTTGGGAATAACAGTGGTCTAATGCTATACAGCATTTAATGATTAACTCAGCAATGGAAACTGCTAGAAGCCAGACAAGGAAGGAGAAGCAACACTAATACAGTATAATAGTCTTGCTTCTCCTTGTGTGTATGTGTGTAAATATACAAGCAATATCATAGTGATTTTTATATCTAATAAATACATATATATTAGATACAAAAATCACTATAATATTGCTCTTATATTTACATATACACCACAAGAAGCAAGACTACTATATTAGTCTTGCTTTTCAGTGTGTGTGTGTGCGTGTGTGTGTGTGAAAGCAATAGAGTAGCAGTATTTTTTTAAATAAAAGTATCTGAGGAAACCAAACTGGAGGTCAAATGTCTTCAGTCATTGCAAGTTTTCCTGTTTTTTGTTTACGGCCATGTTTCTGAGGGAAATACACTTGGAAAGACTTCAGCCAGCAGGCACACGCATGCCCCTCCTGTGCTGTTCTTGACTGGAATTTTACAAAATGCTGCAACTTCCTTTAGTGCCAGCTGGGGGCAATAGAGCAGGCTGCAGCAGTCTGGCACTTCCCTTTCATCCTCCTCCTCCTTTCTTCACAGGATCAGGGGTTGGAAGGGAGGGCAGAAGAGAGGTGTAAGCAGAAGTCCAAGGGGGCATGTGGAGGGGCTCCAAACCGCCTAAACCTTTCCTCTCCCTCTAAGAAAGGGAGGAGGAAAAAGGGATTGGGGTTGGAAGGATTTGTAGAGAGGTAAGTCTACCTCCAGCCCAGCTGTCCCTTATTTAGGTACACATAACCAAAAGTAAGACACTAAAAAATAGCACATATCTACAGGAACAAGATTACAACTCAGAATACAGACCCAAAGATATTACTGACTTTATATACTTCATCCTCACAAACAATTTCACTTTTAATAATCAACACTTCCTCCAGATGATGGGAACAGCTATGGGCACCAAAATGGGCCCACAGTATGCCAACCTTTCTATAAGCCACCTGGAAGAAGACTTCCTCAAGAACTGCACCATCAAACCCTTGTTATACTTAAGATATATCGATGACATCATCATCATTTGGACTGAAAACCTGCAATCTCTGATTGAGTTCCATCAGAAATTCAAAAATCACCATCCCTCCATCCAACTTTCTCTAGAATACTCCAGCACCAACATCTCCTTTTTAGACATGATGATCAGTATCCGAAATGATAAAATACAGACATTATACAAGAAACCCACAGACCAACATACATATCTGCACAGAACCAGCAATCACGCTAAACACACTGAAAAAGCTGTGATATACAGCCAAGCCCTCAGATACCATCGGATTTGCACTGAAGAGAACACCCGGGATTGCCACCTCACCGATGTTAAAAAGGCTTTCACCCAACAAGGACACTCCTCCAGAGAGACAGATCGCA